TTGAAAACAAACAACGCTGCAGAGTATGAGGCGGTGATCGCCGGCCTGACCATGGCTAAAGAGCTGGGCGCCCACAAAATCCAGGTCAAGTCCGACTCGGCCCTCGTCGTCAACCAACTTAACGGAGCATTCGAAGTAAAGGAGGAAGCACTAGAAGTGTACGTGCAAAGGGTCAGAGAGCTGGGAGCCTGGTTTGGGGAAATCTCCTTCATACACATCCCGCGTGAGGAAAATGCGCATGCAGACGCCCTATCCAAATTGGCCACCGCAGTAGAGTTTGCGGAGGATCGGAAGGTCATTGTCACTGCGGAAGTACCCCGCCAATATTTGGTCGCAACCTTGGGGGACGAAGGCGCCGGCTCAGGGTGGATGGCACCGATCATATTATTCTTGACCCAAGGAACGGTGCCGGAGGACCCAAAGGAGGCCTGGCGCCTCCGTCGAAAGGCGGCCCGCTGCTCCATGATTGAAGGAACGTTGTATAAGAGGTCCCATTCGGGAGCATATTTGAGGTGTCTAAACGAGGAGGAAAGCAGAGGGGCAATCGAAGAGGTGCACAGTGGGACGTGCGGAATGCACGCAGGGGCGCGCAGTTTGGAAAAAACGCTGCTGCGACAAGGTTATTACTGGCCAACGATGAGGCGGGACGCAAGGGCACACGTGGGCGCCTGTCACCAGTGCCAAATTCATGCAAACGACATTCATGTCCCGGCGGCGCCCATGCAGGGCAATGTAGGAGCCTGGCCTTTCGCCCAATGGGGCATGGACCTGTTAGGCCCTTTTCCCAAGGCGCCCGGGCAAATGAAATACTTGATCGTGACAGTCGACTACTTTTCCAAATGGATTGAAGCTGAGCCCTTGGCCACTGTTACAGAAGCGCAAGTGCGAAAGTTCACCAAGAAAAACATATTCACCCGGTTCGGCCTACCCGAGTCCATTGTCGCAGACCATGGGAAGCAGTTCGATTGCAAGAAATTTGTTGAGTTTTGCGATGACAACGGGGTCGTCCTGCGGTTCTCCTCAGTGGCATACCCGCAGGCAAATGGCCAAGCGGAAGCAGCCAACAAGAGTATTCTCCACGGGTTGCACACCTGATTAGCAGGCGCCAAGGGCAAGTGGGTGGAAGAACTACCAAGCGTACTGTGGGCGCATCGCACAACCTACAAAACAGCCACGGGAGAAACACCCTTCGCTCTAACTTACGGAAGTGAGGCGGTCATCCCGGTGGAAGTCAACACCCCAAGCTACCGCGTTGGCCAGTATGACCCAAACAGCAATGGCAAAGCAAGAATCGATGAACTAGAAATGACAGATGAGGTGAGGGAAGTAGCGGCCAAGTGGCTCGATACTACAACAAGAAAATGCGGGCGCATGGAATCACCGAGGGCGCCCTAGTTCTCAAGCGTGACTTCCGCCCAGACGCCCGTGAAGGGAAGTTAGCACCAAAATGGAAAGGGCCATACCGAGTTCGAGAGGTGGTGGGACCAAGTACGTTCAAGCTAGAGCATACCAGCGGCAAAAGCGTGAAACGAACTTGGAATGCGCAGAACCTGCGGGTTTACCATGAGGGCGCCTCCGTTCGATAAGGGCCAAGAAGGCAAAGGATGGTCGTAGGCAAGAGCATTGTTAGTGTTAGAGAGAGTCGTGTAAGGCGCCGTGTTGTGTTCAAAAGCGCTCGTAAAAGTAGCGCCGTGTTGTGTCCAAAAGCGCCCCGTGTTGCAGCGCTCGTTTGAGACTTATGTTTTCAATTCCTCTTTCTTAAGCAGTAAAAGCGCCCTAATTTCGCGCCCGGAAATTTTGTGAAGTACAAAGCGCCCTAAAATTGCGCCCTATCGTAAGATTGTCAGTCGGTACGTGGGTAAGTAAAGCGCCCAAGTTTGCGCCCGTCAAAGCCAAAGCGCCCTCTATTCTGCGCCCAACATCAGAACAATCAATGCGCCCACATTTGCGCCCTCGAGACATAGCAATCAGTGATAAAGGAAATTGGCCTCCGAAGTTTAAAAGCGCCCACACTATTCGCGCCCAAACACAACGATAACTCGATACGTAAATAAACACAAGTATGGTCGCAATATCGAAGAAGAACATTTTTATTATCCGAAAAAAAAGATACTGGGGAAAACGGGACGCCCATCTACACTCACTCAGCGCCTGAGTTGGCATCACCTGCGCTAGGCGCCTTAGGGGAAGGAGAGACAGGAGCAGAGTCATGCGGAGGCTCCTCCACATTGGCTGATTGGGGCGCATTCCCCGTGTCCGGTGGAGTCTCCAACTCCCCAATCACATACTCGGCGATTTCAGTAAAATCCCAAGTAAGATCAGGGTGATCCTTCACCAGTTTGCCGTGGAAGATCTGCAGGCCAGACAAGATAGCACTGGCACACATGTTCCTCCCAGTCTCGGACTCCTCGAAGGTGTCCAGCGAGTGGCGCAAATTGGTGATCTCCTTCCGCGCCTCCTTTAGCTCCTTCTTGCACTCCTTGTAGGCGTCCTGCCACTTCTTCTTCTCCTCTTTGAGGATGTTAATCTCGCTGGCCTGGGCGCCCGCCCCCTGCGCCAGCGCCTCCTTCTCAGCTTCAAGGGTGGCTGACTTATTGCGCTCCTCGTCGAGGGCGCCCTGAAGTTGCGACACTTGCAAGGCCGCATTCATTTGAGCCTCGTCGCACTCCTTCACAAGTTGCTCACGACGCTCCGTCGCGTTATCAAGGTCGCGCTGCAACTGGGAGGCCGAAGAAGAGGCTTCGAGCGCCTCTCTTTTTGTTTCATTTAGGCGCCGGGCGCCTCTCTCAGCAAAGAGAAGAATCTACACACACAAAACACAAAGAGTTAGTACTTGTGCAAAGTTTAACAAAACCCAACAATCAAGAACACAAACAACGGTGAACGTACCTTGGCGCCCACTTTCGCCAGTTCAGCAAATAGGTGATCCCCGTTCACCTCCGACGGCACTTGCCACATTTTGGCAGCCGTAATGGCCATGCCCATGGCACAGCCTCGGTCAACAGCTACCAGCGGCGAGCATGGCAGCTCAATGCGCCCAACATCGGCGCGTGTGGGCTGGAAAATGGGGGGGCGCCCGTCGGGGCCTACCCACTGCCCCTCTTCGGTAAGATGATACTCGAAGGCGCCCCCTCCCCCACTTCGGGCGCCGGCGTCCATCTTCTCCTTCCCCTTGTCAGCCTTCTTGCTGACATTGCCCAAGGGGGACCCAGCCCGCTTCCCCCGTCTAACTAGGGGCTCGGGCTCCTCTTCCCCGGAATTCCCCTCCTGCTCCGCAGGCTCTGTAGTGGGCGCCTCTACGTGCGGCGCCTCCTCCTCCTCCTCCGGTGCTGAAGAGGCCACGCTGGCAGTCTTCGTGGTACCTCCCTTCACTGCCCTCTTCTTCTTTTTCTTGGGGGCAGCAGTAGGCGCCTGCGGTTCCGGCGCAGCCGGAACAGGCGCCTTGGGCCTTGGAAAAGATGAACCAGAGGTCTGGTGGTCCAGCAACCACTCAAAACGGTCAATCTTAAGTATGTATCCGTTACTTCTATCATCTAGAGTCCTATGTTGATGCTTATCCTTCGTGTTTATGTTTTGTTTGAGTCTAGATACTAATATTGTTCATTCTTTTTGTTCATGGAAGGTATGGATATGAATCATGACACCAACTAACCTCTTGCTTCTGTAGGATAGGATGAAATATAATTCTAGATTAGGAGGAGATTTAGATGTTTTTTGAAATCTTTTAAATCATTTTGTATAGGTGTCATGTAATAGTTTGTTAGCTTTTGAATGGTTAGAAATATCTAAAGCTCGTCTGACTTTTGACTATTGATGTAAGAGTAGTATATTATGGATTAAGTGTGAAAGTTTGTATAATGTAATGTTGTTGCTCTGGACTAAGTAGTTTATTCCATAAATCTTTTGACTAGTGATGTAGAATGTAATGTTCTTATTCTGGACTGTGTGCAAGTTTTTATAAAACAAAGTTGAGAAAAAGTTGATGCATTGATTCTTGAGTTACATTGCATAGAGAACTTGCATTCCCATCCCATTTCAGCAGCTCAATCTGTTGCCCATGTACAACAGCTTGTAAACCATTTTTGCAAATATGATTAATAATTTAATATACATTGCCCAGATTTGCAGCATGTCGAACTCGTAACTAGGGAAAAATATTCATGCTGTAGGCTTGAACCAAGTAGCAAAACGAAAAAACTATAACCAAACTACCAATTTAACCATATTGCCATATCCATTTTTCTTGTCAAATATTCCATTTAGCTTGTATATATCCTATTCCATAGGAAGCCCACGTCAAATCAGCCCATGGACATTTGTTCTTGTCTAGTACGATGAGAAAACTTTAAACAATTGTAATTTTGTACTCAGTTATCTTATTGGAGTAATTTTTTATTTCATATAACTTTTCGAGATCTACGTAGTCATTTTGTGGTCTAACAAGAACAATTTGTGATTTTCTCAAACTTTGAAGAGTTGTCGTTTTTTGTTCAAGCACCTGCTTGGTGTGATTTTGTTTTCATTTTATAGAGACATTGGAGTATTATCTTTTGAGGCTTTTTAGTATGCTATATAGTATGAGTGCTTTACTATGTCTATAGCCCTTAGATCTTGTTATAAAATATCAGCCATTGGATTAAAGTTATTTAATTATTATTTTTTTACCCGTTGGAATGGTAACCTGTTGCACCGGTTCCAGAGCCTCGTCGAGTTTCAGAGCCTCTCTTCCGCGGTGGGATTTCAGAGCGTCTCCTCGTCCATAGTGACGGGATTGATTGGCGGCGACGGCGAATCTGCATCTGAATTAGGGCGACGGCGACAACGAACCTGCATCAAGGGGCGATGGTGACGGCGACACTGTGAGAAGAAAGAGATTGGGGGTTCCGTGTCTCGACTCTCAAAGCTCCCGACTTCGCATGCGGCATGTCAAAGGCGGAACAACATCACTTGATCTGAATTCTTAAGGGTTCCTTTGGGGGAGTCGGAATTCCCCACTGTAGATGGAGAGTTGCAGTGCTGAGGAGGGATTCTTCGATACTAGGGAAGAGGTCTCTTCCATCTCCGATTGGGCTTCCGATTCCGACGGCAACGGTGTTTTCGCTAATTCTCAGTTCGAGATTTGGGGTAAGAATATGGAGAGCGTAGAGGATCGGCGATGGAGGTTCCTCGGATAGATGAATCCGAGTTTCGACCGGGGTTCGGTGAAGAAATTGGAGAAGGAAAGTCCCGAGAAGATCGAATTGGGAGTTGATAGAGTGATGGATGATAGCAGCGCAGTGTTGAGAACTTCTGGTTCTGATGAACCCGACCTCTGGTCTGACACTTTGTCACGGTCTACTTCTTGCTAGTCAGCTGAAGCTCGGGAGTCGTTTGAAGATAGTGCTTCGGAGGTGGATTTCATGTACAAGATTAGGAACTTAGACGATGGAAGGGAGTTTGTCTTCGAAGAACTGGATCAAGCTGGAATCTTTAGCAGATTGCGGGAATTGGGATCAGATTGTTCATTTCTAGCCATGAGGGAGCATTCTCCAAGATCATCATCGCCATTTCATGCTTCCGCCATCCACTGTTAACATTAAAGGCAGAGGTACTTACCACCGTTCTCTGCTTCAGAAGTCAGTCCGGTGACTTCGAAGGCTGATTCCAACGCTTTAGTCATTATTGTAGACTCCATCCCAGAGCCGTAGTTCGAGGGTGAATTCCTTCCCTCCCGCCGTTGCTCGTCGCATCTCTGTCAATTTGCATGATGACTCATCTGAATCAAGATAGGGTAGATGTCCCTGTTACCACCCCGTCAAATCCAGTTCTAGCTACTGACGTCTTTCCGGTCCGTCGGCTAAAATATTGTCGTTTTTGGTGTAGGATCCAGATTGCAACATCGTCACCAGTCTTCGTCGATATGCAGATGAGGCAAGAACCATGATAGACTAGGAAGAAACCTAAGAGGGGCTGACTGAAGAATTTTAGATCACCACCAGCTTGCATTGCGTATAAGATCAATGGTAATGAGCCATCTGGAGAGAAAAAGTCGCAAAGAGTTAAGGTTCATTCCCACAGGAAGAAGACCAAGGAGTTTCACATGCCATTGCTGGTGCAGGCTCAGTTGCATTAGGCACCGCATTAACTTATCCTCTTGATACGATCAAGGTCCTTACCCAGGTTTGTGTACTGTGTAGTATCTGCCACAGAATCCATGTTTTGTTAAAGAAGTGTGTATTTACTGACTTCGTATGGATGGTCGGTTTTGAGGTGATGAACAGGTTGGTTCAAGTTCTAATAAGCAGTTGACTCCACTTTTGGTTTTAAGAAGAGTTCAAGCTTTGTCTGGAAATTCAGGTCTGCTCCTTTGAGTTTGGTTAATGTTACTAAGTTTGTTGGTTTTATCAATATGGAACTATGTACTAAACTGTTCTTATCTATGTTTTAGGTTTATATAGTGGATTGGGTTGGTTGACTTCAGGCAGAATTGTTGGTCTTGGCACTCGTTTTGGCGTCTATGAAATTTTGACAGCATTCTATAAAGGTAATTGCTTGGGTAACACTTCTGTTTATTTGGGATATGAGGAAGAAAGTGCACCAACGAGATCAAGTGCTTATTAGAAGGTATTATTGATTTTCATTTGATATAGTGTTCTAGCTGATGGTGTAATGACTTTTGAGGTGATCAATACATGGCTCTCATTTGACATGTTGCTCTAAGATCAAGTCTTGCAAGTCTAACACTAGAACCCTTACTTATAGCAGTAGTTTATGACAAACTGTTATCTGTGTGATGTAGTTAAACTCAGTGTTGATAATTTGTATAACTTGTTGCGAAATGCTTGATTGGTTATTAGCTTGATTTTAGTTATTAGCCTCTAGTTATTCTTAGTCTTTAGTTGAACTTGTACATCAAAAGTTATGAATGAAAGGTTCTTAGCAATTAGGTTGTTGGTTTGATTTTGAAGATTTGTTGTCAATTTTTGGCAGGAAGCTAGAGAGATGGATTTCAAACCAAGTCGGATGGCTGTGATTGCAAAACATGTTGAGGCTTTCATTAGGGAGTTTTTCGCCAAAACCCACTTAGTCAGATTGGTCTGGTGATTATAAAAGATGGGTAGCTCAATCTTTGACAGAACTTGGTGGGAGTCCTCAGGCCCATATTAAGGCCTTGATGGGTAAGCTAGGTTGTGCAGGGGACTCGTCACTCTAGAATGCTCTTGAACTTGCCCATGACACTCTCCATAAAATCCCATCATATGGTCACCATGAATTTCTCATCTTGTATTTTGCACTCTCAACCTGTGATCCGGTTGAATGTTTGTGTGCAAACATCTTTGTCAGGAAACTGGTGGGTCATACATGGTTGCCTTGGATGAGGTTAGTTTGATTATCTATTGTCCTTGCAGAATTAAATTGAACTGTTTGATTTCCTTCATTATATGCAGGAATTACATAATCTGGTAGTCATCACTAAAAAAGTTGTTTGGAGTCCGTTCATTGAATTTTCAAATGAGTGATTAGTTTGTGTAAGTTACTCTCTGCTAGTTTTAGTTATGTTTGGCCTCACTCTGTTTGTTGATTATTGGATGGTTTTCTTCTCTTTTTCCATTCTCTTGAGGTTGCCCTTGTATATTTCACTGATGGAACTGGTGCACATTCTTTTCTTACAGTGTCATTTCAAAGAGCTCTTACTAGAGCATGCACCACCTCCTCCTGCCCTTGCTGAATTTGCCATTGCAAACTTGATCAAGATGGGTTTCCCACAAAGAGTAGCAGAAGGTTCTATAGCAATTTGCTCCTGTCACAGAGAAGCTAAAGCAGGTGAAGGGTATATATTGCCAAGATGGGGTAGATTTTTGTCTCATCACCCCATCTAGCTAGATCTTATCATAATCTTTTCCCAATCGAGCCATTCACCGAGGTATCTGCACGTCAATTGGAATTGAGCAGAGTAGCTTCAAAAACTTGTTTCAGTTGTTGGGAGAGCCTTCTCACTCCTGGTAGGTTATGCTAATACAAATGTTCTATTTGCAACGTTATCTGCTGGAAATCAGTATACGTGGATAGTTTTTAGCAGCAGACTCGGGTAGTGAGTTACTTTAGCAAGAAACTAGCAGTATAGATCATGCACGACTGAAGTTGGTTATATGTCATATTTACGAGCTATTTCTCTGGTGCTACCACTTGGGGGCTATAAACTCTGCTGCTGGCACTATACTTAATTTTGAGTTTGTAATGTCTTGACTGTTTCTTGGTTTTCTGAAATAGTTTTGTGAACATAACAGTGGAATCTTCTATGAACTGCATTGTGTTTCACTCAATACTTATTGTATGTCATATGTCAGTAGATGGATTGGCTTGATAAAAGTTTTAAGCTTGTTGTTGTGGTGGTCCCATTGCAGGTACTAACAAGGCTGGCCCTTGTGCGACTTGTACAAAGTGCAAGCAGTATTTCTGCCTTGATTGTGACATTTATATTCACGAGAGCTTGCACAACTGCCCTAGCTGTGAGAGCCGAAGAATTACCTCAGCTGCTGCCTCTGCTATTATGAGTTGATAAACTTGTGCATTTTTGTCATTCCATGAGTTCCAGTTTTAGAGGGTTCTGGATACATTGAGAAGGTAGAGTTGGAAGGTAACCTGGTTGAATTCAGGAAAAAAAAAATTGTCCTTCTATTGATGTTTTCTTATATATGAAAAAGAAATAACTATTCTTTGGTTTACAAGTAAAGGGTGTTTTAGTTAGAAGTGTCGTCTTGGTTTGGACTCGAAGACCCTGTATTGCTTTCAACCAATGTTGAGCAATGGAAGAGGTAGTAGTAGAGAAGAAGCATATTCAATCAAATCAACCAAGTGCTCTGATTCCTCAGCTAGAATCGCCCGTGGAACATAAGCAACAACAGCAGTAGAGTTCATCGTCGGAGTCTGATGAAGTAGTTGGGAGCCTGCTGAGGAAGATAAGCTGGATTTCTTTCCGGCAACCTGAACACAAAAGCAGTACCCTATCAATGTCCGCGAGGAGATCGGGAACAAGTAGTGTAGAGATGTTGAGATCTGAGAGTAAAGGAGAAGTACTGGAATGTGAGAGCAGGTAGCAATTCTTTTTGCAGTTGGATGTAATAAACAACCTCGAATATAAAGATAAAAATAGAGTAAGTAGCTTCTATAAAGTATAACTCAATCAATCATCATCATTATCCCCAATATCTTAAAGAAACAATTTGCAGTTGAATATAAAATCAGCAGTTGAGGGGAAATGGGATTCATGATCAAAATGCCCCACAAGCCAGTGGCAATTGGATAGCTCCACTTCTAAAGGTTACAAGGCAATGATAATGATTCTAGCTCTAGGCAAAAGGGAGGAGTAGGGAATGCAGTTACGACACCTCCAGAACTGCGCTTAAGAAATAAATATCATGATTGAGTAATCATATGGATCAACGGCGTTCTCTTCATACATGAACATTGTTGTGATTCCTAGGGATGGCAATTGGTCGGGTTTTGCCAAACACAAATCCATGGGTTTATATGTGAAAAAAACTCGGGGTAAAATTCACTGGGTTTGAAAAACTCAAACTCAACCCAACCCGCTGGGTATTCGCGGGTTCATGGGTATTGGGTTTTTGCCGTAAAAAAATTACAATAACAAGTTCCTATGAAAATTAAAGTCAAATATCAATCTCTCAATAACAAGTACCTATACATATAGGTGTCAATCGGGCGGGATCGGGCGGGTTCGGGCTGGGTTCAATCGGATTCGGGTTCAAACGGGTTGCGGGTTAGTCGGGTGGCGGGTTCATCGGGTTCGGGTTCATTGGGTTCGGGTTCATTGGGGTCGGGCGGGTTGCGGGCGGATCGGATTGCGGGTTGTTCGGGTTAGCGCATCGAGTAACTTATTACCAACTTACACATTTTATTACACTAATTTAAAATATTTTCCCCAACTTTTTAACCAATTTCTTTCTACCTTGTATATATATACCCGTTACCAACTTACACATTTTATTACACTGATTTAAAATATTTTTCTCAACTTTTTAATCAATTTCTTTCTACCTCGTGTTTATATATACTTAATTAAAAAAAACTATAAAAAAAACTAGTCAAAGTGTTGAATCAATTTGTATGACTTGTAAACTTGTTATGTAATTAATCATAATTGGTAAAGTACACTAGCCAATAGTAATGGTGATACCAACATTTTCAACAAAAAAAAACATTAATTGTTTATTTGGTAATTTAGTATCATTTCAGTAGTAATTGGATGAAAGTATCTCATTAAGTAGAACCATGCAAATATGGTATTTGGCAAAAGCATAGTGGTAAAATGAGTTATTTCAAAATAACTCATTGCCCAAATAACTTCAGTAAAATGTAGCCAAACGAGTTATTTGTAAAATTGTTTGAATTACGCTAAATATTGACTATTGAAGATTAACTATCAAATTTGATAAAATTGTTGTGACTTCAAACCTAACTTACTCAATAACATATATCCTATACACTTAACCTTACCTCAACCGAAGATATTAAGTTAGTATATGTAGTTGATCGTATACCCTAAACCATCGATACATTATACACTAACTACATACTCTACACCCTAACCATGTATCCTTATGAGTTGTGATTTTGCCACTATAGTTAATTTAAAGTGAAATTCATACTTTGATTTTCAAAACATAGAAAAAAGTGATTTTTGCTATACCCTAACCATATATCCTAAGCTAGACACCATATACCCTAACCACGAACCATAAACATAAACTAAAAAGGGATCTCTTGTCAATACCTTATGTCCTAACCATATACACCCTAAACCATATGTACTGCGTACCTTATACAATAACCATATACTTTATACCCTAAATAGCGAAACATCAAAGATTACTTATCAAGTTTAGTAGAATTGTTGTGATTTCAATCATAACTCTGCTCGATAACATATACCCGATACCCGGGTTACGAGTTTTTTCATTCAACGCATCGAGTTAGTTACTTTTGACTCATTACTACAACCAATGTAGTTAAAATCCCGATTTTAAACTTAAAATATTACTATTTTATGATCTTACCCATGTGATTCCAATCTTGATTTTACTATTAGATCTCAAACCTTTAAAATCCACGATTGGGTTCCATTACATTAAGCACAATGCCCAGTGGAGATCAAGAGATTTGTTATGTGAAGGCTTCTTTCTCAAATTGACCTGTTATGATTATTATGTGATCAGAAGATCGAAGTCATGGTGGCTTGTGGCAGCAGAGGAAGTGTAGGGAATTGTGGGAAGGATCATGTTTGAAGTTCACCATGTAGTTAGAGTAAGATATCATCTTAACTGCTATTTTCATCTTCTTTGTACCACATCGATAAGAGATGGCTCACCTCATATCTCACTCATGTATATATTGAGGGTATGCCATCCGTATTTAAAGCCAGATCATAAAGAGGCCTCCATAAGTGGCCCTTTGATTATGTGTTGCAAAAAAAATTGGGTTGATAAAGCCCACTATTAAGTATTGCATTATTATTTTGTAAAATAATAATGATAATGGCCATAGTGTGGTTTTGTATTGATTTGGGCTCGTATAATGAGGAAACATGCGTGATGTTTTTTTACCACATAGGAGAATGAAAGGTTGGTTGATTTTTCCATGCATATAAATAAGGTGTTGGGTCTCTACATAAAGGTATGCCTATTATCACAAGCGCCTGCTGAGCCAGAAGAATCAAGAGATGAAGTTGAGTTTTATTTTTGAAACTACCACATCGACAGGTTAGCTAAAACTCATTCTTCGCTTGAACATATAGTAGTGGGTGGCCTCCCATCAACAAGTAAATCTTGAAGAGGTCCGATTAATGGTCGACAAGAGTGGGCCACGAGGTTTGGGCTTTATTAGGTCCAATGATGGCTCAATTTTGTAGTTGTCAGGGTTCGGTTATTTTATACTTGAGGTGCCTACCTCCAGTTCAATTAGTAAAAGTTTGTTTTGAATTGGAGTCATGGTAATGGGTAATTGTTATTATGATCCATTGTTTCAATTGTGTTGATTTTGAGTTAATTTAGCATTGTCGGAAAGGATAGAATTTCATTGGTGTCGAATGATTTTGTGAATTTAGAGGAAAAGGAACAGAAAGAGACTAGGAGAGTAGAGTAATAGATTGTTAATGAAGATTATTATGGTATTTGCTCTTTTATTACCAAATACCATATGAAAAATCTAATTGCTTTTTTCCATCCAAACAAGATTAATTCTCTATTCCTCCAAATAACACACAAATACCACATGTACAAAAAGTGAATTATTTGACCTTACAATTACCACACTGAAAATTAACCTATCCAAACGATCCCTATATATTATATAATATAGTAATTATTCGGGTCAGTCGGGCGGGTTCGGGTTAGTCGGGTTCAGGTCAACCGGGTTGCGAGTTAGTCGGGTTCGGGCCAGTCGGGTTGCGGGTCAGTCGGGTTCGGGTTTAATCGGGTTTCGGTTCAATCGGGTTGCGGGTTGATCGGGTTGCGGGTCGATGAGGTTACGGGTCGGGCAGGTTACGGATCATTGACTTTTAGTCAACTTGGGTTGCGGGTCAGGTTAAACAGGCGGGTTACTCGGGTCGGGTTCTGTTTTGATACCTATACAACTTTAAGTTGTACATATACTTTCTAACAAATCCCTCTATGGTACTACTCAAAATTGTACCTATACTTATAGTACAACCTTAAGTTGTACCTACACTTTCTAAAAATCCTTCTACGGTACAACCCAAACTTGTACCTATACTATTGGTACAACTTTAAATTGTACCTACACTTTTTAACAAATCCCTTTATGGTACAACTCAATATTGTACATATACTTGTAGTACAACCTTATGTTGTACCTACACCTTCTAAAAATCATTCTATGGTACAGCGCGAACCTGTACCTATACTTGTGGTACACCTTTCAATCGTACCTACACTTTTTAACAAATCCTTCTATGGTACAACCCAAACATGTACCTATACCATGGTACAACTTTAAAGTTGTACCTACACTTTCTAATAAATCCCTTTATGGTACAACTCAAAATTGTACCTATACTAATGGTACAACTTTTAGTTGTACCTACACTTTCTCCAAATCCTTCTATGGTACAACCCAAACTTGTACCTATACCATGGGACAACTTTAAGTTGTACCTACACTTTCTAACAAATCCCTTTATGGTACAACTAAAAATTGTACCTATACTAATGGTACAACCTTAAGTTGTACCTACACTTTCTCAAAATTCTTTTATGGTACAACCCAAACTTGTACCTATGCCATGGTACAACTTTAAGTTGTACCTACACTTTCTAACAAATCCTTTTATGGTACAACTCAAAATTGTACCTATACTAATGGGACAACTTTAAATTGTACCTACACTTTCTAATAAATCTCTTTATGGTACAACTCAAAATTGTACCTATACTAATGGTACAACCTTAAGTTGTACCTACACTTTCTCAAAATCCTTCTATGGTACAACCCAAACTTGTACCTATACCATTGTACAACTTT